TAATCAGTAATAACTTTAGCAGACCGCTGTACTGTACTAGTGATGCCATGCAGGGGTCAAAGGTCATGAAGAAATATTGATCATGTCTAATCTTGCTAGCTGATCATTGGATTGATTTATTGCAGTCCGATATGCAAACAGGATCAGGTACAGTAATTCCTCAGTTTCAGCCGTTCACTCAGTCTTGTGTGGTTGTGTTTACTCTCATACTCATCTTTTGTGTTTATATCACAAGCAGCTGAAAGTGAAGAAACACACTTTTGCGTTGCAGATTTGCTTTCATGTGTTGTTGTACAAACAAATGTCTTTGTTCATTTTAATAAGCATCTGCTCAACAGACTTTTATTGCTCTGTGACTCTTCTAGATCTGAACACAAGCATCGCCTTCATGTGTGTTTTGTTGAAGTGTCATGATGGTTCCTGACTTCGCCTTCAGGCTCTTGGAGACCATTAAAAATCAAATGTTTTTAATGTTTACCTTCTGTAATATAATGTTATGTTTTAACATGATACCAGACACTAGAAGTGTGTGTGTTTGTGTTAATACATCAGACTAGACGATGTTATGCTTGTTTATAATCACTTCCCCACATCTGTCACCAGCTCCACACACTCTACACACACACACACACACACACACACACACACACACACACACACACACACACACACTCTACACACACTCTACACACATACACTCTACACACACACTCTACACACACACACACACACACACACTCTACACACACACACTCTACACACGCACACTCTACACACACACACACACACACACACACACACTCTACACACACACACTCTACACACACAGACTCTACACACTCTACACACACACACACACACACACACACACACACACACACACACTCTCACTCTACACACACACTACACACTCACACACACACACACACACACACACACACACTCTACACACACACACACACACACACACTCTACACACACACACACACACACTCTACACACACACACACACACACACACACACACACACACACACACACACACACACTCTACACACACACACACACACACTCTAAACAACCCTCTACACCCTCTACACACACTCCCCACACACACACACACACACACACACACACAACACTCACTCACTCACTCTACACACACACTCTACACACACAAACACTCTACACACTCACTCTACACACACACTCTACACACACACACACTCTACACACACACACTCTACACACACACACTCACTCTACACACACACTCTACACACACACTAAACACACACACACTCTAAACACACTCTACACACACACACACACACTCCACATACTCTAAACAAACAACCCTCTACACCCTCTACACACTCTCTACACACACTCTACACACTCTCTACACACACTCTACAAACACCCTACACCCTCTACACACACTCTACTCACTCTTTACACACACACACACACACACACACACTCCACACACTCTAAACAACCCTCTACACACTCTACACACACTCTAAACAGCGCTCTACCCCCTCTACACACTCTACACACACTACACACACTCTACACACTCTCTACACACACTACACACACTCTACACACTCTCTACACTCTCTACACACACTCTACACCCTCTACACACACACTCTACACACTCTACACACACTCTACACACTCTCTACACACTCTCTACACACACTCTCTACACCCTCTACACACTCTCTACACTCTCTACACACACTCTACACCCTCTACACACACACTCTACACACTCTACACACACTCTACACACTCTCTACACACTCTCTACACACACTCTCTACACCCTCTACACACTCTACACACTCTCTACACACACTTTACACCCTCTACACACGCTCTACACACTCTCTACACACTCTGCACACACTCTGCACACACACACACACTCTCTACACACACACTCTCTCTCTCTCTCTCTCTCTCTCTCTGTCTCACACACACACACACACACACACTCTACACACACACTCTCTCTCTCTCTCTCTCTCTCTCTCACACACACACACACACACACACTATCTCTCTCTCACTCACACACACACACACACACACACACACACACACACACACACACACACTCTACACACATACATACTTGGGATGAGCTTCGGTCATGTGATCGTGTGTGTTTGTGTCATGTGATCGTGTGTGATGTGTGTTTGTGTCATGTGATCGTGTGTGATGTGTGTTTGTGTCATGTAATTATGTGTGTGTGTGTGTGTGTGTTCAGGTGGAGAAGCAGCGCGCGGATCTGACTCGTGATCTGGAGGAGTTGTCAGACCGGCTGGAGGAAGCAGGAAGAGCCACGGCCTCTCAGGTCTCAGATCAGCCTTTATTACTGACAATAATCTGATTCTTCCAGGGATTCTCACTGGCTACATACATTGATTATTTAAAAAATAGTAAATTAAAATCAAATTGCGTACTTTTTTTAATTGCATACTTCAAATACACACTACTGTTTAAAAGTTTGGAACAGCAGTGTAAAAAATTTCACAAATTGTATTTCTGGGTCCCAAACACGTCCGTAGTTATTACTTACTGTGAGTTACACAGAGAGAGAGTGTGTGTGTGTGTGTGTGTGTGTGTGTGTGTGTGTGTGTGTGTGCAAGGCAAGTTTATTTATATAGCACATTTCATACACTATGGTACACTATGGTAAAGTGCTTTACACAGAAAGGAATTAAAATTTCACAAAATATAAGCAAGGAAAATTAAAAGAGTTATAAAAGGAATTAACAGAAATATAAAGGTGGTTTTACTGTGAGATTTTCCCATGTTGATTGCACTGTGTTTGTGGTGTTCTTTCCGTGCGCATAAGAAATCTATTTGACGTCTCCAATAGACCTGATTCTTCCCTAAAGTGTGTGTGTGTGTGTGTGTGTGTGTGTGTGTGTGTGTGTGTGTGTGCAGATGGAGATGAATAAGAAGCGAGAGCAGGAGCTGCAGAGGTTGAGGCGAGAGCTCGATGAGTCTGCGCTTCAGGCGGAGTCGATGTCAGTCGCTCTGAGGAAGAGACACTCTGAAGCACTGGCTGAACTGGGAGACCAGTGTGAGAGTCTGCAGAGAACCAGAGCCAAACTGGAGAAGGAGAAGCAGAGTCTGCGGCTGGAGGTCGACGACCTGACGGCTTCCCTCGACACACTGCAGAAAGCCAAGGTCAGAGACACTCAACGTCACATTTACAGGAACTTACACAAAAGTGTGCAATGTTTAAAACCAGCTGACCACCTTAGACTCGTTTGAGTGTTTTGTTTCAGCAAGAACTATTTTAAATGCTTTTTGCTTATTCTGCTGTGTGTAGATCTCGTCTCAGGCCTTTCATCGGGTCTGTGTGACATGAGCAGGGATAGTTCACTTTAAAATGAAAATTAGCCCATGATTTACTCGCCCTGAAGGCATCCTAGGTGTATATTATATTAAAAAATATCCTGCCTCTTCCAAGCTTTATAATGGCAATGAATGGCCATTTCTGATTTGAAATCCATAAAAATGCATCTGTCCATCATAAAAGTGCATCTATCCATGATAAAGTGCATCTATCATCATAAAAGTGCATCTGTCCATCATAAAAGTGCATCTATCCATTATAAAAGTGCATCTGACCATCATAAAAGTGCATCTGTCCATCATAAAAGTGCATCTATCCATTATAAAAGTGCATCTGTCCATCATAAAAGTGCATCTATCCATCATAAAAGTGCATCTGTCCATCATAAAAGTGCATCTATCCATGATAAAAGTGCATCTATCCATCATAAAAGTGCATCTGTCCATCATGAAAGTGCATCTATCCATGATAAAAGTGCATCTATCCATCATAAAAGTGCATCTGTCCATCATAAAAGTGCATCTGTCCATCATAAAAGTGCATCTATCCATGATAAAAGTGCATCTATCCATCATAAAAGTGCTTCTGTCCATCATAAAAGTGCATCTGTCCATGATAAAAGTGCATCTATCCATCATAAAAGTGCATCTATCCATGATAAAAGTGCATCTATCCATCATAAAAGTGCATCTGTCCATGATAAAAGTGCATCTGTCCATCATAAAAGTGCATCTATCCATGATAAAAGTGCATCTATCCATCATAAAAGTGCATCTATCCATCATAAAAGTGCATCTGTCCATGATAAAAGTGCATCTATCCATCATAAAAGTGCTTCTGTCCATCATAAAAGTGCATCTGTCCATGATAAAAGTGCATCTATCCATCATAAAAGTGCATCTGTCCATGATAAAAGTGCATCTGTCCATCATAAAAGTGCATCTATCCATGATAAAAGTGCATCTATCCATCATAAAAGTGCATCTATCCATCATAAAAGTGCTTCTGTCCATCATAAAAGTGCATCTGTCCATGATAAAAGTGCATCTGTCCATGATAAAAGTGCATCTGTCCATGATAAAAGTGCATCTATCCATCATAAAAGTGCATCTGTCCATCATAAAAGTGCATCTGTCCATCATAAAAGTGCATCTATCCATGATAAAAGTGCATCTATCCATCATAAAAGTGCATTCCACTTATTAAGCCTAAAGCACAACTTATGCGAGTAATGCGACGTACTGCTGATATTTAGGCTACGCCATGACACAGTACGCGCACACACACTCACTACTCACACACACACTACGCTACTTCTGACGTCACAAGTTGCGTAAATTATGCTTTAGGCGTACATAGACTATGTATGTTTGGCCGGAAGCTAGAATTTTACTTTGTAACGTGTTAAATATGGATATTTTTCTTACACAAGCGCATTGGCTTCTCTTCAGAAGGCCGTTATTAACCCCTGGAGCCTGTAGAGCACTTTAAGACGGACAGATGCACTTTAATTCACTGCCATTATAAAGTTTGGAAGAGCCTGGACATTTTTTAAGATACCTCTGATTGTGTTCGTCTGAAAGAAGAATGTCATACACACCTGGGATGACTTGAGGGAGAGTAAATAATGGGGTAAGTTTCATTTTAAAGTGAACTACTCCTTAAAGCACTGATAAATCACAGCTGATGCTGTATGACCATGTGTCCCATCAGGCCTCGACTGACACACAGCTTAGGAAACTAGAGGAGCTTCTGTGTGAATCCAACACCAGGAGTGAAGACCTGCAGAAAACCGTCAGTGAAGTCACTGCTGCCAAGAACAGACTCTCAGGTGACGCTCCTCTCACTGAATTACCTGGATTACACTGCCGTTCTTTAGTGTGGAGGCAGTACACATTTTTTGGAGCACCTTTCTATTCATCAAAGAATCCTGAAAAATAAAATATATCACAGTACGGACAGATCTTAATCCTACTAGTCAAATATAACAGGAACGTATGTAAAAGCATTTCTTATATTCAAATAGTCAATTTCTGCACAACTAAACATGTTCTTCTAGTAAACCTCAGCTTTTGCTTCAATTCTGACCACAGTGTCCAGACAGGAATATTTTACATTCATTGATCTCGTAAACGTACACGTTTTCTGTGACGTACTCAACATTATCTTGGTGGCAAATCAGCACAATTTACAACAACATTATCAAGCTGACTAACCGATGAAAAATTACTTGTTTTGGTATTGGAAACATCGACAATGGATGTGAAGAAACGTCTCGGGTTACGACTGTAAACCTAGTTCCCTGAGAAGGTGAATTGAGTGATAGCGTCTGAAGCACTTGTATCAACTAGTCCAATGGCGAGAGTGAATGTCACGGGCGGGTGACGTCACGACCAGGAAAGGATAAAAGCTTCGATCAAGCCGATCACAGGGATGTAGGACGTATCGCAGCGTCTCGTTCCCTTTTAAGGGAACTAGAGTTACAGTCGTAACCTGAGACGTTCCCTTTCGAGTCATAAAACTTGACAAAAGTGAATGGCGAGGACCAGCCCGCTGCATCGCAGACTTCTTGAAGGGATACCCCTGACATTAGGGCCCTGGAGGCAGCCATACTCCTTGTTGAATGGGCTCTAATGGCCAGAGGTGAAGGCTGGCCCGAAACCTCATAAGCAAGAGAGATAGCCTCAACTATCCACTTGCTAACAGTCTGCTTTGATGCAGCAAGCTCTTTCTTAGGAGACCCAAAGCACACTAAAAGTTTATCAGACTTTCGCCACAGGGCAGCTCTGTGGACATAGTTGACTAGTGTTCTGACTGGACAGATGAGGTTAAATTTTCATGGTCTTGATCCTTGAAAGGAGGACGACAGAATGCCTGCAGAACGATAGGCTATATCCTGCCTTAGGATAGAGGAAAGCTTTGACCATCCCGGGTGAAAATTCCAGGCACGATGGGGATACCGATAAGGCCTGAAGATCTCCTACTCTCTTTAGTGAGGAAATAGCTAGAGGGAACACAGTTTTGAGGGTCAGAAACATTTCTGAGACAGAATAAAGAGGCTCGAAGGGAGCGACAGATAAACCTTCTAGAACCAGTGCCAGATCCCAGGCTGGAACTCTGGTACGAACGGCAGGCCTCAGCTTCAGGGTGCCATGAAGGAAATGTGTTATCAAGGGTCTCACCCTACAGATAGACCACCCTAGGGGACATGGTAAGCTGCTATGGCTGCAACATATACCTTCGGTATGGAAGGAGATAAACCTGATGAGAAACGATCTTGATGGAACTCTAGCATTGTCCCACAGGACAATTAACTGGATCCCATTGTCGTAGATTACACCAAGAAGTAAAAACTCTCCACTTCAGGACGTATAGCTTCCTCGTGGACGGAGCTCTGGAGTTCAGTATGGTCTCTACAACCTCGGTTGAGAGACAAGAGTCTATGAGTCGGGCCCCATCAGAGGCCAGACCCACAGGGTGAAGTTAAAAGGTCTCTACTGCCCGGCAGCTTCAGGGAAGAGTCGTCAAGAAGGGATATTAGGTCCGAGAACTAGTGATGGGGAGGAGACTGCCTATGCCGAGTCCGAGTCAAGACCGAGTCTTTGAAGGGTCGAGTCTGAGTCGTGACCGAGTCCATTGGTTTTCAAATACAGTCGAGTCCGAGTCAAGACTGAGTCTTTGAGGAAGCAAGTCCGAGTCGAGATTTTGTTTGAGGAAGCATATCCGAGTCGAGATTTTGTCTCGACATCAGTTTTGATATTCATGATTTAATATCACCCCAGTTAATAATCAACAGTTAGGCCTACAGACTAAGCTAGATTGGGAATTGTTTAGAGAAGTAGTCTTAACTAGTGATGGGGACGAGACCGCCTATGCCAAGGCCGAGTCAAGACCGAGTCTTTGAAGGGTCGAGTCCGAGTCGAGACCGAGTCTTTGAAGGAACAAGTCCGAGACGAATCCGAGAAAGCAGAAATTGGTCTCGAGACCGGTCTCGAGTCCGAGACCGGACTCGAGTACTACATCACTAGCGAGAACCACACTCGGCTTGGCCAGTACGGAGCTAGAAGCAGTAAACTCATTCTGTCTTGGCTGACTTTCTCCAGAACTCCTGGGAGCAGTGCAATCGGGGGAAATGCATACAGACGCAGTCTCAGCCACCTCTGTACTAGTGCGTCCAGTCCCAATCGGGCTGGGTGTGTGAGATAGAGAACCACAGTGGACAGTGCGTCATGTCCTGAGACGCAAACAGATCCACCTCTGCTTGGCCATAAACCTCCCAAATGTGCTCCACCATTCTCCGGGGCTCAGCCCCTGTCTTGACAGTATATCTGCTCCTACATTTTGAAGTCCCAGAATATAAACTGCTCTCAGGGAGAGCATCTTCCCTAGGGACCACAATAGAATCTGGTGCTCCAGTTTGCATAGTGGACGTGAACGCAGACCCCCTTGACCTCTCGAGGCTGGTCTCTGGTGTAATAAGAGCAGCCACTTCGGTGACCCGAAGCATACTGGCAGGAAACAACCGATTTGACTGACTTTCGACCCTCCTTGGAGAGCGAGTCTGATCCAGTGTTGTGGTGATGCTGGATAAGGAGCTCGCTGGAAACCGCTGCGCCCCAGGCACTGTGGGTGGCAGGGTTGGCAGAACGGCCTCCTGAGGGCACTGAGGTCTGAGTGAGCACTGTATAATGAGGTGAATACTGCTCCACCCTGATTGGGGCTGCCCTCAGAGGTCTGACACCTGTGGCGTCAGGACCTCTTCTTAACCAAAGCCTTCTTCACGAGCAGAACGGTCCTCAGATCGGTCTGCTAATTAGAAGACTTCGGCTGAGGGTGTCGTCCCGCACCCCATGGTTTTTGAGGGGGGGCACAAGAAGAAACACTCTGCTTGAGTTGCGCTCGATACGAGGAGCTCGACGACTAGGGCTGCTCACGCCCAGCAGCCCCAGAGGCCTGTTGACGGCAAGGGACTTAGTACTTGAACACCTCTGCTGGCTTTTTAGCCTCCTGGAACCTCTCGACTACGGTGTTAACAGCATCACCGAAGAGGCCAGGGGGCGATAGCGGGGCGTCCGGCAGGAAATATTTATCTTTGTTCTTTATCTCAGATAAATTTAACCAAAGGTGTCTCTCCGAAGACACATTAGCTGCCATAGACTGCCCAATAGCACGAGCAGTCTCTTTTGTTGCCCGAATAGGCAAATCGGTGGCCCGACGCAGTTCTCGGACCACATCAGGCCCCGTCCCCTTGCTAGTCTCCAGGTCCCTCAGCAGGTCAGCCTGATATGCCTGTAATATAGCCATAGTATGAAGGCATGCACCGGTCTCACCTTCTGCTGTATATGCTTTTCCCACTAGTGTTGATTTATGTTTTTAATGACTTATTTGGCAGCATTGGGACTTCAGGGCCAATGCCGATGCTGGTGACAGATAGCTCGCGAGCGTCTGTTCAACTTTTGGCATCGCCACTTACCCATATTCTTTTAGCCCCCTTATATCTGAATATACGTGGACCTGTCGGCTAAATAGACTTCCTGTAACTCAAGAAGTATTAAAGATATCCTAATATCCTTTTAGATTTTGGTTTTAAACAAACTTTACTTTTGGTATCTTCATTTTAAGGTCCTGAGAGGAACCATTTTTTATTGTACCTAGTGCAAAATAGATTTTTTTAGAAGGAAATGGGGGGATGGGGGGGGGGATTAAATTAATCGTTAATGGGGGGCATTAACACAGGTAAAATGATAAAAAAAATTAAAAAGACAAAAATACCCATAAGGATGCACAAGGTTTAATCCGTGTTCTGCTCCGATTAAGCGTTCGTTCAAGTGGTTTAAACGTGTTCAATCTTGCCTTTGCAGTTGAAAACAATGAGCTTGCGAGGCAAATGGAGGATCTGGAGAACAAGGGCATCCACATGAGCCGCTCCAGAACCCTGCTGATGTCCCAACACGAGGAGCTCAAGAAACAACTCGAGGAAGAGCTCAAGGTGTGTGTGATCCCAGCAAGCAATAGCTGTCATTTCTCCGTCTTGGTAAACTATAGACCCGATATAGTCCGGCTATGAGTAGGTTAACTATAGACTCGATATAGTCCGGCTATGAGTAGGTTAACTATAGACCCGATATAGTCCGGCTGTGAGTAGGTTAACTATAGACCCGATATAGTCCGGCTATGAGTAGGTTAACTATAGACCCGATATAGTCCGGCTATGAGTAGGTTAACTATAGACCCGATATAGTCCGGCTATGAGTAGGTTAATTATAGACCCGATATAGTCCAGCTATGAGTAGATTAACTATAGACCCGATATAGTCCGGCTATGAGTAGGTTAACTATACACCCGATATAGTCCGGCTATGAGTAGGTTAACTATAGACCCGATATAGTCCGGCTATGAGTAGGTTAACTATAGATCCGATATAGTCCATAGTCCGGCTATTAGTAGGTTAACTATAGACCCGATACAGTCCGGCTATGACCCGATACAGTCCGGCTATGACCCGATATAGTCCGGCTATGAGTAGGTTAACTATAGACCCAATATAGTCCGGCTGTGAGTAGGTTAACTATACACCCGATATAGTCCGGCTATGAGTAGATTAACTATAGACCCGATATAGTCCGGCTATGAGTAGGTTAACTATACACCCGATATAGTCCGGCTGTGAGCAGATTAACTATAGACCCGATATAGTCCGGCTGTGAGTAGATTAACTATAGACCCGATATAGCCTGGCTATGAGTAGATTAACTATAGACCCTATATAGTCCGGCTATGAGTAGGTTAACTATACACCCGATATAGTCCGGCTATGAGTAGGTTAACTATAGACCCGATATAGTCCGGCTATGAGTAGGTTAACTATAGACCCGATATAGTCCGGCTATGTGTAGGTTAACTATAGACCCGATATAGTCCGGCTATGAGTAGGTTAACTATAGACCCGATATAGTCCGGCTATGAGTAGGTTAACTATAGACCCGATATAGTCCGGCTATGAGTAGGTTAACTATAGACCCGATATAGTCCAGCTATGAGTAGGTTAACTATAGACCCGATATAGTCCGGCTATGAGTAGGTTAACTATAGACCCGATATAGTCCGGCTATGAGTAGGTTAACTATAGACCTGATATAGTCCGGCTATGAGTAGGTTAACTATAGACCCGATATAGTCCGGCTATGAGTAGGTTAACTATAGACCCGATATAGTCCGGCAATGAGTAGGTTAACTATAGACCTGATATAGTCCGGCTATGAGTAGGTTAACTATAGACCCGATATAGTCCAGCTATGAGTAGGTTAACTATAGACCTGATATAGTCCGGCTATGAGTAGGTTAACTATAGACCCGATATAGTCCGGCTATGAGTAGGTTAACTATAGACCCGATATAGTCCAGCTATGAGTAGGTTAACTATAGACCCGCTATAGTCCGGCTGTGAGTAGGTTAACTATAGACCCGATATAGTCCAGCTATGAGTAGGTTAACTATAGACCCGCTATAGTCCGGCTGTGAGTAGGTTAACTATAGACCCGATATACTCCGGCTATGAGTAGGTTAACTATAGACCCGATATAGTCCGGCTAGGAGTAGGTTAACTATAGACCGGATATAGTCCGGCTATGAGTAGATTAACTATAGACCCGATATAGTCCGGATATGAGAAGATTAACTATAGACCTGATATAGTCCAGCTATGAGTAGGTTAACTATAGACCCGATATAGTCCGGCTATGAGTAGGTTAACTATAGACCCGATATAGTCTGGCTAGGAGTAGGTTAACTATAGACCGGATATAGTCCAGCTATGAGTAGGTTAACTATAGACCCGATATAGTCCGGCTATGAGTAGGTTAACTATAGACCAGATATAGTCCAGCTATGAGTAGGTTAACTATAGACCCGATATAGTCCGGCTAGGAGTAGGTTAACTATAGACCCGATATAGTCCAGCTATGAGTAGATTAACTATAGACCCGATATAGTCCAGCTATGAGTAGATTAACTATAGACCCGATATAGTCCGGCTATGAGTAGGTTAACTATAGACCCGATATAGTCCAGCTATGAGTAGATTAACTATAGACCCGATATAGTCCGGCTATGAGTAGGTTAACTATAGACCCGATATAGTCCAGCTATGAGTAGATTAACTATAGACCCGATATAGTCCAGCTATGAGAAGGTTAACTATAGACCCGATATAGTCCGGCTATGAGTAGGTTAACTATAGACCCGATATAGTCCAGCTATGAGTAGATTAACTATAGACCCGATATAGTCCAGCTATGAGTAGATTAACTATAGACCCGATATAGTCCAGCTATGAGTAGATTAACTATAGACCCGATATAGTCCGGCTATGAGTAGGTTAACTATAGACCCGATATAGTCCGGCTATGAGTAGATTAACTATAGACCCGATATAGTCCGGCTATGAGTAGGTTAACTATAAACCCGATATAATCCGGCTATGAGTAACACACTTCTAGCCAAAATAACCCCTTGTATTTGGTTACATGTCGTTTTTGCCAAAATAACTTGCGATATGTATGATATTCCATCATGTAAGCAAAGTAAACATTGATTACAAGGTGTTTGGTTTCATTTCTTCACTCATTTAATTTCTTTGTTATCTATTTGATGATTAGTCTAGTCTTGGGTTCTGGTTTAGACGTCTATTAAATTTTCACTGACAGCCCAAATGTTGCCTTGTTTTAGTCTAGACGTCTGGCTAAATTGGCTAAACGTGTTACTATATGACGTGTGTTTGGACGGCAATTAGACGTCTTTTAAACACAAAATACTACGTGAGGATCCAGGTGGTGTGTGAGTGACGTGGTTGTGTGTGTTCAGGCTAAAGCGGCGTTGAGCGGCGCTCTGTCTGCGGTTCGCCAGGAGTGTGTGGTGTTGAAGGAGCAGTTTGAGGAGGAGCAGGAGAGCAAACAGGAGCTCCAGCGTCTCGTCTCTAAACTCAACAGTGAAATCACGCTCTGGAGGAGCCGCCTCGAGGCCGATGCCATCCAGCACTGCGACGAGCTCGAGGAAACCAAGTATGCATCAATGGTGTAAACGTGCTGACACACCTAATGTGGTTCCAGGTCAAAAA